TAAAAAAATTGATTGACTAATCATAATTATTGATGGTGTGCTTGCAAATAAAATAGTATACAAACCTCGGAGGAAAGTTTTCATTACTGTCTCGAGATTAATAGTCAATCTCGACGTTTCGCGTCTCGATTGACTATATAAATCTCTCGACAGTAATGAAACACTTCCCTACTCGGTATGTAATATACTATTATCGAGACGCTTAGCGTCGAGATAAACTAAACCTCGAAAATGCAATAAAGTTTTCCGTCCAGGTTTCTATACAATTTTATTTTCAACCCTCAATTTCTGAGAAAAAGATTTTATTGTACGAAATCCTTCATATCTTTTGATAATGTGAAATTGGCCTTTCCGTCCCGATAAAATGTAGAAGTACAGAAATGTGACACTTTCAAGATTTCAAAAAGTCTGTAATGTCAATATTACCTATACGGGCCGAGTTCGTTTTTGTCATCTTTTCCGTCGATTTGCTCCGAAATTTTGACAGGCACGTGATTTGTAAATTGAAACTGTCTGATCCAGTCACGTGCCTATCAAAATTTCGGAGGAAAACGACGAAAAAGATGACAAAAACGAACTCGGCCACGGTTGAAAATAAACGTACAGGGTGTTTCTTTATATTTTGACCCCTACGTACAATTTTAGCTATACGAGGTGGAAAAAAACTTTAAATATGAAAGTTGTAGGGTTTTATGTCTATGATCTTTTGCGAATGTCAAAACGGGCAAATGACAGGTGCCAACTGTCACAATGACAAACGCATTTTTCAAATGGAACACCACGTATATTTTTGGCTAGAATGATAGCTTTTTTTTCTTCTGATTCCAAATATACCATATATGTTGATATTTGGTTCAGTTGTTTTTGCGCTATTTAATTTTAAAATTGCATTGAGCAAGCCTCATCATTGATATAAGAAACCAGGACAGATTAAATTAAGGGTAATGTAAATGCATCTTTAAACTTGAATAGCGTTAAAACAGCTGAACCAAATATCAACATATATGGTATATTTGGAATCAGAAGAAAAAAATCTATCATTCTAGCGAAAAATATACAGGGTGTTCCATTCGAAAAATGCAAGTGTTTGTCATTGTACAAGTGGCACCTGTCATTTGCCCATTTTGACATTGGCAAAAGATAATAGACATATAACCCTACAACTTACATATTTAAAGTTTTTTTCCACCTCGTATAGCTAAAGCTGTAGGTAGGGGTTAAAATATAAGGAAACACCCTGTACATTATTATATCGGGTCTTCAAAGAAAAAACCAATCAAAGATTGCTATGGTTTTTTAAACGTATGTCTTAGCAATATTTTTCTTTAATTTTGACAATGTCAGTCAATGAAATTTAATGTCAAAATGTTATGTCAAAAATCCTGACCAATAAAAAAACAATAATGCGACGTACGTTTTCGTAACCAAAGCAATCTTTGATTGGTTTTTTTTTTTGAAGACCCGATATAAAAGCAATATTTGAAATCTTATATCCTTTACAATTATGGACAAAAATGCATTGTGGTTTTCGATGTATATGAAAAAGACCTGTCTACGAAAGTGCAAAAACAGTTGCGCCGATATGGAAAAACTACTTGTTCCGACATCCGATTTTCCGAGGACACTATGGAATCAGGCTAAATTTTTCTCAAATAAAAAATTTAAAAAAAAATTATTTCACAACTAAGCCAACACCTAAAATCAGCCGGTATTCAAGTTTTTCAGGCACAGGGTGATGCAGGTACCCCGACAGTGGATGAAGTTTTGGAAGTAAGAAAATCTGAGGAATCAGTAACATTGGTCGGGGAAGATACCGATTTAATGGAAGTATTCATATTTAAAGTAAAAACGCATAACGTTTACATGTTAAGACCTGGTAGTGCTGCAAAACCCAACAAAACAACTGATGTTAATATCCTACAAAATAAAATGGGTTCTATGGCATCTTCTATTTTATTTTATTATGTCATTTCTGGGTGTGACGCCACCTCATCAATATATAAAAAGAGGGGAAATTGTCGACGTATAGGCCTTTAGAGAACCGTGAGAACTTACAAGCCAAGGTAGCCGCATTTCTAAATCCCAATGCAGATAAAAATGGAATTGCCGCCATTGGAGAACAGTTTCTATTTGCTCCTTATGGAACAGGAAAATCAGCGAAAACTTTAAATCAGCTTCGATTTATAACCTTAATTTCCCAGTTATAACACCAGCTAGCTCAAAAATATAATGATAAAGAAAGTATAGTAGTACTTACTAAACATGGGTCTCTTGGACCTGGGCATTGTTCTCAGCAGAAGGAATCAATTAAAGTCAGGTTTAAAACAAAGGACAATATGTAATTACTAAACCTATGTAGCTTTGGGCAATAGATAACAGGTAACAGTTGAAATGTAAGTAAATGTATAACAATAATAATCGCCATCAAAATATTACACTAAATAATAAAGTCGTGTTCAAATAAGGTCAACGTATTGATTACATAAGGGCAATTAATCAATTACGCTAGACATTTAAACTTTAATTATAAATATGCAAAATCATCGCCTAAAATACCATGGTATACCAGGCGCAAGACGATTATATTTATAGCATGACAATGCCAAGAAAATATGTAACTAGATATATAATAAAACACTCTACCTTAGTAACATTCAACTCTTTTGTTTCTTTCTAATTATTATGTAAGAAATAAAATAGAGCAGCTATACATTACTCGATCCTGCTGGTGAAATAAAACAGCAACCAGCCTGGAAAGGATGAGAAACGTCCAGAAGCTACATCAGCTGCTACTGCTACCCATTAGCTACGTGCATTGTGCACCAAACACTAGACTTGATTTAGACATCAACATCAGACACCGGAACAAGACACCAACCAAAAACAACGCCCTAGAAAAAGGTATTCAGCCTTAGTTCCAGAACTATATTAAATTATAACTAGCTTTGACAGCACAAAGACTGGCACTAGACGGCCTCGACAAGCCGGGTATACGAAGTCTGCACATTTAGAATGAACTTAACGTCACACAAATGGCGCTTTCATAATAGCCCATCATCTAGATTTTATTAAGCAAAAACCCTATATTTTATTCCCTCCCTAATATACATAAAAATAGATAAAACATACCTTCCAACAATCACATTCCTACAACGCCTAAGGACATCATTTCCTCATCCGGCAACACCGTAATTGTCGAAAGGGCATATCTCCCTAATATCACCATCAAGGCACACGTAAGACGGCGGAAAGGCAGGACAAAAATGGACATATAAGCCCTTGGGACCAACTCTCTATAAGTGACGAGAAACTAGGTAATAGTATGGAAATGTGTAGCCAAGAACCATGTGGTTCTTGGGCAGCAAAAGTAAGATAACTTACCAGTCACGTGGTCAAAAATCCCTTACAAAAAGGTTTGTGGAAATCCAAAATTACACGTGCCTCCAGCACAACTTGCGGTTTATCCAGTAAACCAAAGAAACGGATTCCACGCGAAAACTGCAGCCAAAATTCCTTAGGTACAAAGGCGAATCCTAGGACTCAAGCAGGCTTAGCAGCTAAAACGACCATTCAGGCTGAAAGTTGGGGTAGAAAAGACCGAAGAAAGAACTTGATGTCATGGTCAGAACCAGGGACGACTCGTCTCTCTGGGTCTGTTGCCAAAACTCAAAATAATTTCCATACAGTCCCAAAACACAATAGAACTCTTTAAAATCTCAACTAGTTGTTAATTTCCTCAGCTAAATTATAATTTACACAGAAAATTTCAATTCATGAACAAAACGAAGAAAACTTAATGTTGCTACAGACAGCAACACAGTAACAATTCTGTGAACTACGCCAATGACTTTGATTTATCGGTGAAACCTTGACCCATTTACTCCAAGCACCTGTGCGACATCCCAAGACCGCTAAATAATAAAAACCGAAGTGTTCGGAGCACACAGCTGTTCAAGATCAAGTTCAAGTGTCAAAAATAATAAATCATAACCCAATAATTAACGGATGGTAAACAAAGCACTGGGCCCCAATTTTTAATAAAGGTAAGTATTGAAATTGAATTCTATTTCATCTTAAGTCATCCTTTTACATTTCAGACGCAGTCCCACAAGGAATATTTCCCCGACAAAACAAGAATACAGGAAAACAGAAGCCCCCTGCCAACCTGTCGGAAAATGAATTGTTTATGTCCCTGACATGATTAAAATAAAAGGATATTAATTAACAACAATCTTAGAGCTTTGGAATACAATATTAAATGAGAATTTATATAAAACTAACAAATTGATACAGTGAATTTTGAACTGTAACAGATTTTTGAAATTCCAAAACAATACATCAACACAGAGCTTACGTGCTCACAGCAAAGCTTTCGTGTCTATTCTCAAATTCAAGAGTGGCTGGGGAATGAGTTGGAACCTACCTCATGGGGATGGAGAAAACAAGGAGAATTTCTAACACCAAATGAACAAACCAATTGCTCCAGACTTTATCCTCAAGTTGATATTCTGCAACTAGAAGGCTGACTGTGGAAAGCTGTTCAATTGACTTTTATTCTGGTTATTATCATTTTCCACAAAAACCAATTGTATTCGAGATATTGGTACAACATAGTAGGACTAGATTTTTTAGGACCGAGAAAAAACTAACGATTTTGGAGACTGACTGGGCACCACTGATATAATGAAATTCCAAACCTGTATATACCATTTTGTAGGTTATTTTCTTGGCTTCCTTTTTGATGTGGAGCATTTTTCATCAAACACTACTGTTTTCGAGATATTGAGTAAAAACTAAAAAATTGTACCTTTGGGGGGTTTGCACCCTCGGAGGAGTGGGGAGTTTTAGTATCTGGACCACAAAAGCTAGACATTCCAGCAAAAATAGTTCTAGGGCATTTTGTTCCACGATGAACTTTAATATCACTATACTATTATTAGATAAAGTCCACTCCAAATCAAACCACCGAACTGAGAAAAGAAAAAAGTTTTAAAACTTACGCCACGGCTTGTATTGATTGCATAACGCGATTCCTAGAAGATACAATAATACTTATTTCAACAAACAAAATTTGCATTCCGAATTTGAGTAGAAAACATATTTTTCACTGAAAGGTTTACTTATATTAGTAACTTTAAGAGAATGACAGTATAAATAAATGTTGAATGTAGAGCATAAATTTAATTTGTTAGAATTACTCCAACTAAATAGACTATAATCTTCAGATGAATACACGAAACATTAAAAAACATTTTTGAACAGTAGGTACTTTCATTACCTTTTGGTAAATATATATTCCCTGTGAAAAATATATCTTTTATCTCAAATTTACCATGAGTTTATATTAAACTGCAAAAAAGTATAGGTGAAATTTGATACAATATACTAAGAAATTATTGGCAATATTGCAGCACAAATCAATTAGTAAAAGAAATATACTTACATGTTCTCCTATAATAATTTCGGAATCATCTACGTCAGAACTGGATCTTCGAGATGTGGAAGACGACTCTGTGTTGGCTACTTTGTTGCTTAATGCTTTGTAAACTCTCTAAAACAATTTGAAAGAGAAATGGATTAAAGCCTTGACTATAGTTTTGATGGGAACATTGCCGAAAGCAGAAAGCAATTCAAGAGGCCAGAAGGGTCTTTTCTTTATACGAAACAATGCACTGCATAAGAAATAAGCTTTGACACTGATAGACTTTATTTTCTAAAAAAAAATCTTGTTGCTTATATTGTTCCTTCGTCAAAAAATAAAATAGGTCTAGCAAAAGATCTGAATGACTATTAGCTCCGAGTTCGGCTGTTTTTTTTTGTTTAACAAGAAATCGTAAGAAATGAAGAAAACTGAAAACTCAATTTTACCAATAAAAACAAACAGGAAATCAGGACATTTACAAACTTAATTGAAAAATAGCTTAAATGAAAACTGCAAGAGCTCTAAGATGAGCAGCCAAAATATAAGTTGAAAATTAAGACTTGAAGGAATGAATCAGTCAGAGTTGAGGATTTTCAACGATGGTATTACCTATAAATGTTATCATCATTTGAAATTTGAAATTGGCCTAAGAAACTGGAAGATCAATGATGAGAAAATTCAAGAGGGAAGACCACTTTGGATTAAAAACAATAAAAACTAAGATTGGTTTGGTATGATTCCCTCACACCAATAATTGAATTATTTATTCAAAAGTATTGAATTGAAAGCTTCATAATATTCATCTGTCCTCAAGGAAATTAGCATGAAGATACTCTATTATCCAAGTTGGAAGGACCCTCCAAAAAAATAAGATTTTACAAAAGGGTATACAAAAATCATGTTTATTCCTTAAAAAATCATTTACCTAGTGAAAAAAAATAAAATATTTTTGTTGTAACAAAAATTATACTTACATAATTGAATAATAAAAGTAACTCCTTACCCCACTTTCGACTCTAGATTCAGCAGTAATAAATCCAACATCACTAGGGTTCACAACCAAAAACAAAAACAATATAAACCCTACTATGCCTATTATAAAGCCAGGTACTATAAAGGACAGGGCCCAGTCGGTTTCTACATATTCTGCAGCTATTAGAGATCCTGAAAGACAATATTTTTTTAAGCAAATGTAGACTTTGGTATAGAACTATTTACCCAATATGTTTCCAATACTCGTATGTGAATTCCACAGTCCAAAAATAAGTCCGCGTTTTGATTTACCAAACCAATTGCTCATAACAGTTACCACTCCTGGCCACCCAGTGGTTTGTGATATACCCGCCAATCCCTAAAACAATAATAATTATTGGTCATTGAGAGAGTGGTGCAGAGAGTTTGGCAGAAACGATTATTTTGGAATTTTTAAGCATAAGTTTAAGTTGATAACCAAAATCACACTCTTCATCTAAACATCCAATATGTAATTCCAACACCCAAACTTCAGTGTAATAATCCAGAAAAAATTACAATTACAAATTCACTCAATGGTTCATGGAAATCGTAGTAAAAAAGGGGTACCTTGCATGAAATGAGATATTTCTGATTTTTTGATATGTTGTATCTGATAAAGTGGTGATGATAAATCTGAGTTTTCGACCTCTAAAGCCCTCCGGATTACTGCTAAATATTACTAAAACCACTAAATTTTCACCCTTTTTTAACCTTTTGTCAATTTTGACTACCAAGGACTCATTTTACGGCAAAAGTCAACATACAATAATTGTAATGTGAACAAAATTAAAAAAAAAAAAAAACAACGAGATTAATTTGGTCCTTGTAGGTGAAATAGTTTCTAAGATACAGCAATTTAATGTTTTGAATAATTTTCTCAACAAATTTATCTGAGTATTATTGAATTAGTTATTCATTTATTACCTGATTTTTTTGTAAGATTTTAGCACTATTTACCCTTACTATAAAGTCGATTATTCTAATACTTTTGGATAAATAAATGTGTGGATAAATATTTCAAATAAGAAAAAAATGCATTTTTCATTTTAATTTTTCCCTGGGTTTATTTGGAAAGATATTTCTAAATGAACTTCACTTTATACAGGCAACTTTCTTTCCTCTACACAATGGTGTAGCCAAATTTGAAATCCGGCGTTTCCATTTCTTTTTTAAATTGTTTTGGAGCTTTTTGATCCCCTAAAAGCAGTAACACACAAAAATAACAAGTCGAATGGAATGCACGACCATCTTAACGGCATCTGTCTCTCTTACCGTTTCCCTATATCCCAATGGTTGCCCGTTGCCCTCGAAAAACGAACACCCTGTATACAATAAAGTATTTCATATCAAATGTATTTCATATTTCATGTTAAACAGGGGCGCAACTAGCTTGTTGATTTTGGGGGGGCTTGAGCCCCGGGTCTCATAAGTCGATTTCGTGACAGTATGTGATGTTTTCCAAAACTTACTAAAGTACCTACGTATTTCACAAAATGCCTGAATTTGACGGAAATACTCTGCTATGAATTTTTTTCTTCAATATAATCTACGTTCTTAGTTGAAAAAAAAAAAACAAAGTTATAAAATTTATGTACATATATACATAATATGTAAGAAAAAATACAGGGTGTCCCAGACGAGAGTGACCCATTTTAAATACTTATAACTTTCAAACCAGGTGTGCTAGCTACCTGCGGTTTGTGCCATTCGATTTCTCTTGGCCTGAAATAGTAGCTTGCAATGTTTTTTGAAACTTATATGGGGTAAGTAAAAAAAAGATCCGTTTTTCAACATCGAAATTATTCACTATTTTTAATGGAACATCTTGTATATCAAGGTCAAGAAAAAGATTTATGTTCAAGGTATCTATGTACGAAAAGATCGCCTCTAAAACTTGAAGTTTCAGCCGTAAAAAATCGAAATATTGGTATTCTTGCAAAATGCAAATGCATATTTTCAAAGCTTGGAACTTATGTTTGCCTAATAAAAAGTTAATGAAAACTGAAAACTGCATAAAACTATACAAAATGCTGTATATGTATATGTTAGCCATTCTGCTCCAAGCATTTAGGTATGGATTAATAAATGGTTGAATGAATTGTGTAACATTTCCTGGAGAATCGCTTCAATGACATTAGAAATGTTCCGCTCAAGATCTTCTAGGCTATTTAAGCAAAGTATTACCGCATCTTTCCTTGACATTACCCAAGAGAAAAAAGTCTAGAACTCTCAAGTCAGGAGAGTAAAGTGTCCATTCTATAGGACCAGCTCTCATCCGTCTTTCCCCAAATGCCATTATCCAGTGATTCAGTTGCTATTAAAGAATAATAAGAATAAGGTGGAGGCACCAATCTGCTGAAAATAGATATCATCCAAGATATCCTCCTGTCTTAACTGTGGGAAAAAGAGCATATCAGTGTATACAGTTTCTGTTGTAATTGGTTAATAAAAATGTTCTGTATTTTTTCTTAATAGAGATTGCACTCCAAACTGTTACTGTTAGGGTATTTCCATTTAACGATTTCCCGAGAAAATACTCTGGAACTCGTTAAATTTTCTTGGAAAATATATTTTAACTTAATTGATATCTAACTAGACAGTTACATAATTGTTTTCCATGGACATAGAGTGATATCAAGTACCTACCTACAACATGAAGTTGCATGCATTTGCAAAAATACCAAGATTTCAATTTTGATTTTTCACGGCTAAAACCTCAAGTTTTAGGGACGATATATATTGGTAGGTACATGGATATCTTGAACATGAATCTTTTTTTTGACGTTGTAATATACAGGGTGTTCTATTAGAAATAGTGGAGAATTTCGATGTTGACAACCGGATTTTTTTTTACTCGGCCTGTATACCTTTCAAGAAAATTTGCAACCTACTTAAAAAAAACTTTAGGCCAAGAGAAATCGAATGGCACAAACCGCAGGTACCCAGCACACCTGGTTTAAAAGTTATAAGCTTTTAAAATGGGTCACTCTCGGCTGGGACACCCTGTATATTGAGTTTGAAATTTCTTAAACTACTTAAATCGGTACTAAAAACAATTTAAAAACTGAACAAGTTCTGTTAAATTAAATACCTCCTAAGTGCACAAACCTTGGCACAAACAGACACGGACCAGCAGACGAAAGGGTTAAAAAAACTGTTGTGTCACTGGAACGCACCCTACTTTGAAATCTATGGATGCCTCTTAAAATAGCAGGTGCTTGAGAGGGCAGGGGAGAGGAAAAACGAACAGTTCAGTTGCGCGAAACTCTAATGCACTGGAACGCCTATAAACAGTCCACGGCGCTCTAGAGCAGCTCAGGAGTGCTTAAAGTGCGTCACTGGAAAGCGACTCAGATCTGCTCGCTCGGATTTGGGAGGACGGATGGCTAATTTGTGTCATTACCATCATGTTTATGACCATCGGGTTTGGGGTGGCTAATCTTAAGCTTGGGGGGCTAAGCCCCCCCCCCAGCCCCCCCCCCCCCCCTAATTGCGCCACTGATGTTAAATGTCAAACAAAATTGGAATTAAACAAACTGAAGGCGGAAGCCGAAAAAACTTTGGGGAACAACTTATGAAATATATGAGACTAAACTCAAAAAACCTAGAGTGAAGGTTGTGGGTTATGATAGAGACCTGTCAGAAGAGGAAATAGCACAGGCACCGCGTGAACACAACCATTTTATTGCGGATGTGGACGAGATAAGAGCTTACATAAAGCAACGTAGAAAGAGTAAATTCAAAACCATATATGGAATGTTCACCCAATCTGTTCCATAAAATGATAAGCAACAAAAGAGTTTATCTAGAGTGGGAAAGATACAGTCTTTACGAGGATATCAGCATACCAAGATGCTTCAAGTGTCAAAGCTATTATCACAAGAACAATGAATGCTACAATAAATCTATCTGTGAATACTGTATAGAAGAACATGATATAAGAGAATGCCCAAAAAGTGTGGAAACAGAAACTGCAAATAAAAAGTTCCTAAGAACTAAATGTGTTAGAGAGAGATAGATAAGAGAATTTTGTTAGGAAATAACTAAAAAGTGAATTTTTTTTTTCGAATAATGCGATATGTCATAGGTTTTGGAACATCAGAATTTCCTAATATAGGCAATTCAATCCATCTGTCAGATGGGGAAATTCAATATGGCGTGGCGGCCAAGCAAGTTTGTTTTGAATGTGTTTTTATGCGCATTTCAAATTATTTTGCTTAGAGTTTTGCTTGCAACTTTGATTTGGATTATTTAATAAAATGTTTAGTTGACTAGGTACCATCGTCACCAAAAGAAACTGGGACAGCTTCACATAGCTCTTGTCCTATTATATGAATTTTATTGTCAAATATTTGTCAAACTATAAATCAAATGCATTGAAATGAATGACAGTAGAATTAGTCCAGGAGATTATTATGCATTATTTGTGTCCCAGATACTTTTGGTGACGATGGTACCTAAACTAATAAATCGAGCAGAATCTAGATATTTTTTTGTGTTTTTTGGCCCATGTGTGCCGCCACACCATCTTGAAAGTCACGTGGTTTGAATTGCCTAATTAAACCAAGAAAATCTTTTGTGTGCCAACAATCCGTCAAAAAAAGTCACGTGGTTTGGATTGCCTAATTTTCGATGTCAAAAGTATGAACCCTGGCGAAACGATCTGTAAAGTTTTTTTTTTTTTTAAAGATAATTCCCCAAGTCAAAAATTTAGTAACTATGTTGGCAACACAAGCCTTTTCTACGTAAAAAATTTGAAGCATTGACAATTTTACATTGTATTGCCAACATAATGTCAGTTTGACTTTTATCTTTAAAAAAAAAACAGATTTTACCTATTTTTTTATGCCTTTAATGGCCGTTTCCACCGACAATTTTAGGGGAGGCTTAACGATAAATATTCGTTAAAGTGACATTTTTACATGTAGAAATGTCATTTTACTTATTATACTTATCGTTAAACCTCTCTTAAATTTGTTGGTGGAAACGGCCATAATACAACTAGGCACAAGATTCAACAAATGATTATCAAAATTATTTTAATTGAATGTGGTTTGGGTTGGGTGGGCCAAATGACCCCCAGTCCGACACTGCTTGTTTTTCAATCATTTCACCATAGGTACTCAAGGGTAATCCAAATCCGGGTAGTATGTATGTAGAGGAACAGGATACCCCTACTAGAAAAAAGAGAGGTTTTTGTGTGTTTTTAGTGAACTGTATTAATAATTAGAAAGGGAAGAGAATGAAAGTCAAAAGAGGGAGCTCTTTAACAAAAAACCATCTATTGCTTCACAATCACAAATCACAGGCAAAGTTTACATAGGTAAAAACCGGAACAACAGCGCCCGGTTGAAAGTGTATGGGTAAATTTTAACATGTAAATACCAAAAGCTCGTACTAAAGTTTCTTGAATAATTGCAGAATCAGTTCGATGCCGAGTTCACTGGAAATTTTATTCGATTTTCTCGACTATTTTTTAGAACGTTAGAGAAGAGAACACTGAGAGCAGAAAAAATAGAAAGAAGTGTGCGGCCTTACCGCGTCAGGAGCAATGATCCCTTTCAAGGTCTAATGTCAACTGCTTTCACTTGTTTAAATAGAAATCAGGGCGCAAGGAACATATCCTTGGAATTATGGGATCTAGCAATAGCAAATGTCCTTGAATAATAGGCCACCAAATAAATATATTATTAGGTTTTAATTTAATTTTTAGCATCTGAATTATTTCTATATTTTTTAAATTATTATTATCTTTGAATTATTAGGAATCTCCAACACAAATTATATAGCATTTTCTACGTCGGCTAGCCATCCCGATTTCTCCTCGATTGCTGTGACTGGGCTAGAGAGTCGTATAAGCGCGATGTGTCTGATGATACTAAATATATGGGAATAGTCATAGATAGGAATTTAAAATGGGAAAATCATGCTCTAAGATTGAAGAATAATGTTAGAAAATTAATACACAAATTTTATCAACTACGTGAAATGTTACCTAAAAGCCATGTGCTGATGCTGTATGGATTCCTTGTAACAGTGCCTTAAGACAGCTCAATGTCATTCAAAACTCTATTCTAAAAATAATCTTTAGAAAAGAAAGACGCTTTCCCACGCACATGCTATATGATGATGAGGATTCTAATGTTAAAGGTTAAAATCCCAAAAAGTTATAAAGCATTGAACCAAAGATTTCTGAAATATCTTGGACCCAAAATATGTAATTTAATCCCTGTGAACATCAGAGAAATAACAAACCAGAAATCCTTAGTGAGAAAGTCCAAAGAATATATGTATATGTGAAAATAAGACCACCTTTTTTTATCTTTTTTAGTTGCCTGATTGTCTGTATCTATATAGAGTTAGTGAAAAGTTATAAGTTTGTATCATATCATAAGTTTATAGTTAGTAATTAGTCAAACCAAATTTAACTATTTCTGAAGTGTATTTTAAATTAGCTGAAAACCTCTCAATTATTGTATATGCTCTGCACATACAGCTATTAAATTAGCTAGGTGTCAAGAAAAACAGTAGCAGATGAAATTATTTTTCCTAATATTTTTAAGTCTATGTAATTTTAATTTTTGAATAAACTTATTGATTGATTGATTACAAAAAAAAAATCAAATTATAATTTTATGTCTGCTACAATGGTTTTTTTAAATAATTTATAATGCTTATTTCGTTAACAGTCGTAGTTTATTTTACAAACCCTTTTTAAAATATTTACTCACTGACCTCATTGACTTTGGACAACTGTACCTAAAGATCTATTAGGTCTAAAAAAACCAAATTAGTGTTGTTTGGACAAACACTGAAAAAAAAACTGTATTTTTTTTCTTGAAATTATGGAAAACTTTAAATTGCTGTATCTTGGAAACTATTCCATTTAAAAAGACCAAAAAAGTCTCGGTTTTTCATAAATTTTGTTTACTTTAAAATTGTACATAATGACTTTTGCCATAACATTAGTCCTGGGTGGTCAAAATATGGAAAAAGTGGAAAAAAGGTGAAAATTTCAGGTTTTAATAATATTTTTAACAATGATCCGGAGGGCTTTCCAAGTCTAAAACTCGGATTTGTCAATTCCACTTCATCAGATACAACACATTAAAAAATCAGAAATACCTCATTACATGCAAGGTAAAATGTACCAATTCCATGGACTACAAGTATTTCTAGTAAGTTTTTGAAACCTTTTCTGTGTGTTGAAAAAAACTGTTACTGTTGAGGACCTGAAAGAAGCTAATTAATTCTTAGTAGTGGACAGTACAAAAAATAGAGCCAAAGTTCATAAAATGTAGCTAAAATTTCCATTTTTAGAGGTTTCATGTTTAAAAGATAAGTAAAAGGCATTGACTGTTCTAAATTGATAGCTTATCCGATTTATAAGGAAAATTTTTAAAATTCGAATTTTTAGATAAAAAAATTTAAATAATCCTCCTTTACAATAATATGAATCCTAATCCTAACAAATAAAAGTTTAAATATTTAATTACATACTTATCAGATACATTTGTAAGATAAGCTATTAAAATTAAAAACGAATTAAATTATGACTAATTGAATGTGTATCAATTAAATTTTACTTTAAGTTTTCTCTGGTAATAAAAATATAGGTTTAAACTTGGGTTTAAATAATGTCATACATGATAAAATAAAATTTATATAGTCATTCCACTATTGATTAGATTGATTTAGTGCCGGTACTTTTGCTCTCATTTGACAGCCGTTAAAAATAAAATGATCAGGGCTTTGAATGTGCTCTAACCACATCATACTTATAGACCTTGGCACATGCAAAACTTTGACATCGTATCAAATTCGTTAATCGAGAGCAAAAGTATCGGCCCTAAATGATTCTATCTAATAATAAAAGAATTTGTCTGCGGAATATTATTCAAATAAAATCCACAAACAATTTCACTATTCTCACCTGGAAGACAACATAATACCACAAATTATGTATATTGTAAGTTTTTCCAATTCCAAACATATAACTGAAAATTCCAGAAAATAACATCCCCAAACTCAGAAAATATCTAAGGTTTACTCGCTCAGCTACAAATCCTGATATAAACATCGATACAGCATAGCAGAACAAAAATGCAGAGTCCAGTTCGCCCAACATTTGGGAAGCCTTTGTATCAGTGCCATCTGGAAAATATTTTTAAATAAAGTATTAATTCTAAATACAGTTTGAGTCTTACTAAATGGAGCCCAATCGCACCAATTTGGTGGTTCGTCTGGTGAAGGTGGTCTTAAAGAGCTACAATTTCTATGTAACACTGCTTTCACTACTGAAATGGGCCTTCTTGACATATGATACGACATATAGGCAATGTATGTTAAAAATACGACACTTGCCTTGTAGCTGGAACAAGAAAAATTGGGTTATAGAAAATCAAGTTTACTACCGTTACATTTATTTAGAACCAACAAAACCAAGTTTCTTAAAATCGCACAAAAAGTGGCATTAGGACAATAACATAATTAGTATTATGATTGATTGAGATATTTTAGAGATACATTATAATAATTGCAATTAGCTCTTCATAAAGTACCTATGTGCAATTGAAAATTTTATCAGTGGAGATCCAGGAGGTTTTTTTTGCCTTTCAATAAATAAAAAGACTATTCATGAACATCCACATTCCTAGGCCAATATTTGAAGAGAATCTCCCTGGGGCCGGATACTCGTCTCATAGAGTAGAGCTCCTCGATGGAAATAATGTTTTGTCCTTGTCAACATAATCGAAAAGGGAACCAGAATGATAAAGACGAAAAATTTGTTCTCTCGGAAAGCTCTACTCCCTGAGACGAGAATCCGGACCCTGGTGAAATCACAAAGACAGATTGTAAGACGTACAATTAGTATAGACGCAGCGCAGCTTTATTTTGCAGACCATGTGAACAAAAGTGCTAAGTAGTCTACTCTTTTTAACAAAACAAAGCTGAATCCTTTTAAAGGTATTCAGTTTATTGCAACAGTAAACCCAATAAGGCATAAGGGCAGTATGGTATTGGATATGGTTTTTAAGAATCAAGTCAAGTTGATTCTGAAACAGGATGCTTTTTTATTTTGTCAAATGAATTGAGCAATTTCAGACAAGCTCACACTGAAAATTTTTAACTTCATCATGCAGGCTTAATTTTTATTTAATTCAACAATAAAGTATTCAATGTTTTTTAAAGAAACTGGCATGATAAATAAACTGATCTTGGCAATCGTTTTCATCTGATTTTTGTATGAATATGAATTGTTTTGTCCTTTTATTGGATTATTATTAAATGGATTATATATTAAAGTATTTTTCAAATTTTCAAGTGAATTGTTTTGTATTTTATATTTATAGGTAATTGAACTAACATTTTTCACACAAAAAATAGTATGTATATCATGGCCGTGAAACTTTTTAGCGTCCTCGAAATTATCTTGCCTCGGCCGCAAGCAGCCTTGGCGATAACTTTTTTCTACATACGATAAAAAGGCATTTCACAGCCTTGGTATACAAATAACTATTATTATCGTGTATACCTAGTTTTAATTTAGCTGACAGTCGTATGAACTCGTGCTATAATTGTAGAAGGTCGCACTTTTAAAAGGCAATTAAAAAAAAGTTATTAAAAAAAAACATTAATCATATTATTACCTATAGGCCAATCCTCCGGACAATCAAATTGTGTGTAATCTACGTTTGCAAGGAAAAAAAAATTTCATTTTGGTATACAAACGTACATTTTGTGGCTTTCTAAAGAGTCTAAAGAATATAAATCATTAAACAGATAGGTAATCCCGAGGGTAATCTCTTATATTGAAAAAATTCATGAAATAAAAGTTGTAGAGAATAAAATTTTACATATACAGTGTCCGCCATGGGTACATATGGAAAAATTCTTAATTTTTCCTTTTTTCAAAAAACTTTTTTTGGGGATCGTTAGGGCATGTTCGATAACCAAAAAATCGATTATGACACATGTCATGTAATTTTTTTGATGACCAGAAAATGTGCAAAAAGGGACATGGGTACAGTTATAGCGACACGACGCGACCGGACGGTTTTTTCTAATTTATGACCTTCAAGTGTGTATTTCGCAAAACAATCCATTCGTTTGATATCAAACTTAGATAGTTGAATTGAATGAAGCTATTTTTGAAATAAAATTAATATTTTCGATTTTCCATTTAAGAGGCCAGCAACAAATTCAAGCGCGCGAAATTCATTCTTTGTCGCCGAGTTCAAAGTAGGACCGTGATAGACGACGTTACAGCAAATATTTCCGAGATAACGGAAGGGTGTGATCAAATTGCATGGAAGGTGAATAATAAATCCTATGGGCTTTTGTGGAGGCAAAACTAATACACCTATCATATTTAATATAAATAAAAAAGTATACAGTTATAATAATAGTTTTATAATTTACATTGTGCTTTTTATTTAACAAATAAGAATGAGAAGAATGAAATGTGCGGAAACACAAAAATATATTACGAAGATAATAAAATTTACCTATACAAATACAGCAAAATAGATACTTGAAATATTTACACCAGAAAAAAGTGAGGTGGCGTAGTTACGAGGGTGGGAGAGATGATGTTTATTCGTTTATTACATAAAGAACTTCCAGAAAACCTAGAAAAATAATAAAAAGGAAAAGTATTAATTTCACACATTGGTGAGATTGCTCATGAAAACCTCGGACACATCGATTTTTGATTTCAGTTGCTGTTTCTCTGATGGTAATATCATGTATACAGGGTGACCCAGAAACAAGTTGTGACAGCTAACTTTATTTTTTTAAATGAAAACATTAATTTTGAAGTGAAAACTTCTTGAGAATCGTTGGGAGTGATGTGAGACTCGATGAAACGAAAAAGCGACACTTTTTTAACACGCTTATATTAACACACAACAAGAACCTGGAACAAGCCAAGTGAGCTGGAACAAGTCTGGAAAATGTCTGGATAAATCTGGATGAAGTCTGGAAAAGTCTGGAAATCTCTGGAAACGTCTGGAAAGAGCCTGGAAATTTCTGGAAAGGGTCGGAAAAATTCTGTCAAAGGTCCCAAAAGACCTGGGGATCATTCTCCAGAATCCGGATCAGTCTGTACAAGTCTGGATTAGGTCTGGATAAATCTGGATAAAGTCTCTAAAACTCTGGAGAACTCTGGATAAGTCTGGTTATTGTCTGGAAAAGTCTGGAAATCTCTGGAAACGTCTGGAAAAGACTTGGAAATTTCTGGAAAGGGTTGGAAAAATTCTGAAAAAGGTCCCAAAAGACCTGAGGATCATTTACCAGAATCCGTATCAGTCTGAACAAGTCTGAATAAAGTCTGGATTAATCTGGATGAAGTTTGGAAAACTCTGGAAAGCTCTGGATAAGTCTGGATAATGTCTAGAATTCTCTGGAAACGTCTGGAAAGAGCCCGGAAACTGGAAAGGGTCGGAAAAATTCTGCCAAAGGTCCCAAAAGACCTGGGGATCATTTTCCAGAATCTGGATCAGTCTGTACAAGTCTGGATAAAGTCTGTAAAACTCTGAATGAGTCTGGATATTGTCTGGAAAAGTTTGGAAACATCTGTAAAAGACTTGGAAATTCCTGGAAAGGGTTGGAAAAATTCTGAAAAAGGTCCCAAAAGACCTGGGGATCATTTTCCAGAATCCGGATCAGTCTGAACAAATCTGGATAAAGTCTGGATTAATCTGGATGAAGTCTGGAAAACTCTGGAAAGCTCTGGATAAGTCTGGATAATGTCTGGAAATCACTGGAAACGTCTGGAAAAGGCCTGTAAATTTCTTGAAGGGGTCGGAAAAAATTCTGGAAAAGGTCCCAAAAGACCTGGGAATCATTTTCCAGAATCCGGATCAGTCTGTACAAGTCTGGATAAATCTGGATGGAATGTGGAAAACTCTGGGAAGCTCTGAATAAGTCTGGATAATGTCTCGAAAAGTATGGAAATCTCTGGGGCAGACACGCTTTTATAATACATCGAACTAAAAAGTGAAAAATAAATATATTTTAAAAAAACTAAAAAACACGCTTTTATAGTAAATTGAACTAAAAAGTGAAAAATAATTTTTAATAGAAACAGAAAATATTAATGAACAAAAAATATTAGAATTATTGTCAAAAAAGCGTGGGGTGCTCAATGTATGAAAAATGTGGAACAAAGCACCCCAGCGTGTATTTTAGTTTTTTCAAACTATATTTATTTGCGTTCTTTCTCAAGTCTTTTGGAGGGGGGGACGCCACTGTGTATGTTAGTATGTGTGTAATGCATGCAGTTCGATGAAGGTTTCACTTCTACCGGGTGTGAACTGCACAGGATTTTTTTTAAATTTCATTTCTTATTTCTACGTTACATTCTGAACTTATTTTATGTATCATGTCCTATACCTATCTTCAACTGTTTCGGAAATAATAAGAGTTGAAAATTTACTTTTTCTCCAAACGTCAAAAAAACGCCACTTTGTTAACCTCTGTCAAGATGTCAGAAATTTAATTTCTATGCTGGTAGGCAAATCCAGCAGGTTAACACCTGTCGAGGTGGCAGAAATTTAATTTCTACGCTGCATGGCAACCCCAGCGGCAGCAAAAGTACTTTTAGTGCCGCTGGAGCGGCAGCAAAAGTACTTTTAGTGCCGCTCGTACTTTTACTGCCGCTTAACCATTCAGTTACCCCCGAGCTTACCCAATTTGTTTGGAGAAAAAATAGCGTGTTGCATACGGAGTAGAAGCACTTTTTTGTGCTTCAGCAGTATTGCAAGCCTCACTACGTTCGGCTCGCAAACCTACTGCTTCAGCACAAAAAAGTAAAGCTTCTACTCCTAATACAACAATATACTATTTTTGCAACTTTGATAGGCTGTAAAACCTGAACGGTTGATTTTAGAGCTAAACCGATCATACATTCTTATCTGAGTTTTCCATGAACTATCATGTGACACCAGCTTGGAAATTAATCCAAGATTAAAAATTCCATTGCTTGAGTTGTATTTTAGCTATTTTTGGGTTTCAAAAAAGGACGATTCTAAAACGGTTCAAAACAATCGCACAGTTTATTATTGAAATTTGTGATAGCTGAACCGTTGTCATTTAGGTGATTGATGAACTGTGCGATTGTTTTGAACCGTTCTAGAACCGTCCTTTTTTCGCACCCGAAATAGTTATTTTTGTCACAAGTATCTAAAATGAAGTTTTTCAGGACGAATCATTGCTGTTTCCGGACGAGGCGTCAGCCGAGTCCGGAATAGCAGATGAGTCCTGAAAAATTTCGTTTAGGTACGTGTGACAAACACTATTTTTTGTCATACGCTTTTTAGAATTCTTCAGAACGCTAAAATTTGCAGATTTTCCTTAATTTTTGAAATC